TGCAATTAAGAGCTGGTTCTATATGTGTCTGAGCCTACCTATTCTAGATCCTTTCTTTACCATCATGAGCTTGTATGCAAGACTGATTTTCTCACTATATGGTGTATCAAGGAATGCGCTAGGGCAGATGGCAGGAGCAATACCACAAGCGGTGACTGTTACACCTGAAGAGCGTGAGGCTATTGAACGTGTAAGTTATTTAGTTATCCTTTAGCTTGCATCAAATAAAGTCGTCAATGGTTTCATAATAGATTCTAGAAGGGGTACAATGTCACGGGTAACTTAAATGGTTAATTCACTGTTGCAAATGTTTTGACGTAACGCTAGGCCATATTGGGAGTTGGGTTTTGAATTATCTCACTATCATTCTGAGAAAGATTGCATTTGCAATTATTGATGTTTTAATGTAAATGTTTTTACTTTGATAGCTGAAAATGCTGATTGACCAAGCTAGGCAAGATATATTGTCAGCTAATATAAATTTCTTGTATTGTCTATTACGGTTGGTGATATTATTTTGGCAGCTTGAAGCTATGGGGTTTGATCGAGCTTTAGTATTGGAAGTATACTTTGCGTGCAACAAAAATGAGGAGCTGGCTGCAAACTATCTATTAGATCACATGCATGAGTTTGACGAATGACATGGATTGAACTGGGTGCTATTTGACCTGTTACAGTTTCCATTATACGTTGTTTTTCTTCTCTTCATTTTAATCTGTGACTTCCTATATATCTTGCCATGTGGAGTACATTTTATTTCCTCATTTCCAGTGGCAAACCTTGGATACTCTGACCCTTTTGTATAATGGATCTTATTATATCAGTAAAATCATGCCCTACAGCTCTCTCCTCATTCCTCAAGTTAGACTAGTACTTTTTCCGATTTTTGGAGGCTAGTTACGGCCATGCAGTTGCCAAATCGGCTCTTGGCTTATCTTGGTGTCTTTTGTGTTTAATATACAAACGTCCCTTGTAGAAAAAAAAAATCCCTCGTCTCAGATGCTGATAGCTGCTTGACTAATTGGCTAGACATGAGACCACAATACTATTATTCCTACTTCCGGGGCAAGGAAAGTGTACGAGAATTTGTTCCCCTTAAACAGATAGAATTCATCTCGTACATAAATACCTTTTACTAAAGTGAAAGGAGAAAAATATTGGTAAAAAATTTACTATTTAGTCCTTTTCCTTAATGTATATATGTTAAACGAAAAAGAATGTTCTCGTTTACAGAATATGGTGAGATAACAAGAGCATCTCTGTTTTAACAATCAAATCTCTTTGATTTTCTCAACTTCTTAATCAAAGAACTACTATGGAAGATAAGTTGGTCTCCACGGAAAGTAGCATTATTGTGGTCCTTTTTTATCTCGTGTGTTCTGTTGCTTTTCACTAAGTGGGAATGTTGTCAGCGGTGGCCGAAGCCAGAAGTGTTTCCAAGGGTGTTCAAACTTGAAAGGGTGTTCAATATATATTTTATGTATCTAAAAATAATATTTTACTTATATACACAGTGTAATTTTCGTAATATTTCACGGTGAAGGGTAGTCAGTTGGTCACCCTTTGCAAAAGGTGGCATTCGCCCCTGGTTGTTACATCCACTTTCTTTCCCGTTACGTCAAATTTTATTGCTTAAAAGTTTGACTGAAACTATTGAAACCAACATATCTCACTTTAAACTTTTAGTAATGTGTATCTAAAGTGAATGGTTGCAAGTTTAATTTTAAACGTATATCATGCAAACAGAATTTTCCTGCTTAATGGCCACTCAGCGGAAAAAGAAGACAACATTAAATAGTTTTGGCTGTGCATTCAAATTTTAGAAACCTGGTTAGATTTTTTAGTCCCATTGGTTGCTTTTTACATGGTTCTTATCATAAAATAATTCTCTAGAACATTCATTTTCTGAGTGAAGAAAGAAAAATGTAACTGGAAAAGTGAAAAGTTGAAAAAAGAAGGATACCAATCATGCTGAACAAGTCAGCAGAAAATAGCTGTTGGACTAGTTAATAAACATGAAAACGTCTTTAACAAAAAAATAAACAGGAAAAAGTGTAAAAAGGCTGCCAGGTCTTTCTAGCACTCGCCTGTTCTTTATTACGTAGTAGTTTTAGTTTATCAAATGGAAGACTATCGAATTGAAGTATTTATAACAATGGAAAATGACATGTTCCACGACAGCCGTCGATCATCCATGAATTGAACAATGTTGTTGACAACTTCAAAGGTTGGAATAATAGAGTCTTAACACGTTATCAAACAAATGGAATTAAGAAATCAACTTGTCCACAACAGCTGCTTCTCCTAAATAAGACTCCTTCAATTTGCATGTGTGCGTGCTCGCTTATATATAAACAAGATCTCACTCTATCTCCTACTAAGCAACAGCCTATCTCAAGAGCTTCATACAAACGAAACAAAGAAGAAACATGGGACTTTTTGGAAGAAAATTCAAGGCATCAAGAGTTACAACACTGGCTAACCTTGCCATCTCAAGGATTGCCATTCTCAGAAATCAACACCAAGTTAGGTGCTCACTCGCCCGTTCTGATGTTATCCAGCTACTCCATCTTGGTCGCCAAGAAGATGCCCTTCATCGAGTAGGTTCCACTGATATACCCTACTCCCTCGTCTTGCATTCTCCTCCTATCACATGATGGTTTCTTCTCAAGAAATTCAACTTCTGATCAATTTTACTTCACAGGTCGAACTTGTTATCAAGGAACAGAATACACTAGATGCACTTGCGATGATGGAAAAGTACTGCCATCTCCTAATCGGAAAAAGAGTGCTGATACAAACTAAAGGGTGAGTACTTCTCCTATCTTATCGAAATCTACAACTAGATTGGGCCTCTCTCGGATGGCTGTCCAATAGAAGAATCCCACCTCCTTTTTTCCAACGCTTGACGATGTACCCGCCAACATTTAAACAGGGAATGTCCTGAGGAGCTTGCAGAGGCAGTCTCAAGCTTGATTTTTGCAGCTTCAAGATGGGGAGAATTCCCAGAGCTGCATGAACTTCGAGATATTTTCACCTCAAGATATGGGAATGAATTTGCGGCTCAATGTGTTGATTTAAGAAATAATTGTAGCGTGCATCCTAAGGTAGGAGATGAATGATGTGCTATTTATCCCCTGCCCCTAAAATCTAAAGGAAATTGACAAACTAATCTGATCATGACATTTCTCCAGATGATACCCAAGCTATCAAAACGTCACACAGGATCAGGGAAAAGAAGGAATATGCTTATTGATATTGCGGCCCATTGTGGTGTCACTCTGTGTGCAGAGGATGAAGAGACTTCAGATATCACAATCGAGGTTAAGGTTTACAGCAAAAAGGAGTGTGCTCAAGGTAGTTTTTTTGTATTTTTAAAAACTACTTTAATGGCAAACACTACTTATGATGGAAACTTCAAATGGCCTAACATGTCTTACTATTATAGGTGAAGTGGGAGGTACAGAAGCAGCTTCAGTGATCATATTGGAGGATACTCGGATTGTATGAAATGCCTGATGCTTCTCTATCAGCAGCTAATGCAGCAGCAGCACTACTAGCAAGAATTGTTTGGATTTATCCAAGCCTAATGAGAGCAAGGATTAAGGCATGGTTGACTGGCAAGCATATTTGCAATCATGCAACCATACATTTTCAGCAGGGACAGAGTCGTGAAGAGATGTCACAGGGCCCAGAAAGAAAAAAGCATCATCGGACAAGATTCCTAGGAAAACATCAATAGAGCAGCTGCATGTGACAGAAGCTATTCAGGGATGAACTATTAGCTCCAATCATCTTATACATTGGTGCTACATCGAGCGCCTATCTTTCTTCATATTGTTTTTCTTAGGATCGGAACTTGCTTTGGGGCGGGGGGGAGGGATCTTAGCTTTATGTATGTTTAAACCAGATCATTTCTGCAGATGATTTTTGCAGAAAGACATACTTGTGATATAGATCAGTAAACAATCACATTCGTTTTGCAGACTTTAGAGTTGAGATAATACCTTTATCACATTCTCATCTTTTGCTTATTCTAATTGTTTGGCGCATCAGAATTGACATCTAATATCCTTCTTAACATGAGAGTACTACACAATGATTACAATCAATTGGAAAATAAGTGAATCACATAGCAAGTTTTGGATAAAGAAGATGCTATTAGATTTTCTCCAATCAGATAATTAACATCACGAAATTTTGAAAGACAGTTAAGTTTGCGAGACAGAGCGTATATCGGAATCAGCCTCTCTACCTTTACGGTAAGGTTTGCGTACACACTACCCTCCCCAGACCCCACTTATGGGATTACACCAGATTAGTTGTTAGTTAAGTTTGTAAGAGTTCCTCAAATGGAGATCTCATGTAGGTAATAGATCATAATGAAATCCAAAAGAACAGAAGCAAGATTCACAATTAGATGTTTCGCGCAAACAGTTTTTTCATTTAAGATCTAAGCAACACATTACAAGTACTTGGTGAATAGTGAATACAAGTCTAAGGCTTGCTGATTTTACTAATGTTGATTGTAAATGGAAGATGTAATCGCACCTGAAAAATGGCCAAGAGACACTCTTCTTCCTTCCTTTTTGATGAAGGTAAATTTTAAAACTGAATCAGTCAGTAATATTAATTGAAATAGGGCAAATTTCAGAAGTTCTGAAACAAGCATCGACCACATTCAGCTTACAAAACAACCAGTACAACTATAAAAGATAAAAGAACCCTATCACCAATAGGTGACCACACTACTTACACCAAAACAGAACCCTAATAAAAAGCAAAACAAAAAGTTACAGGAGGCAACAGGTACTCTTATCTGAGTACCTGTTACCACTAAAATAATCAGCAACAATGGTTACAGTCAAATTTGTAAATTAGTATAAATTTATCCTTATGCGTTTCATATTAATCTTCATGAAGTGGAATTAAAACCAGCAGTAACCACATAGGAAAAAAGAGATCATCTTGGGATTACAAAAACTTTGTAACATCAACAATTACAAGGTCTAAATTGCACTTCATAATATGAAAAGAATTGAGGAAATCTACAAGAATCAATTGCATTCAATTGACTAACATTTTAAGTGAATTTTTTAGTAGGTACTAACCTTTTTAAGTGAAGTAAGTTACAACAAACAGAATTATGACATTCAGTGGCAGCAAGATAAATCTTGTTCGATGACAGCTTACGCTAAATCACCAACTTCGTTGCCACAAATTGATGATATCAGTGGACTGGTTAAGGAGAATGATCATCTGCTTCTGGGATATCCAGGGCTTACTCTCTAGCAAGACTTTAAGCTCCTCCCAATCATCTTTTCTAGGCCAGAAATAATAAGGGCTCACAGGAAGTGTACCATGACTAGGAATAACCTGGTCCAGCACAATTCCAATGTTCTTCTCCATCCAAATAAACTTCAACACTATCCTAGGTTTCTCCATTGACTTCACCACCACTCCGAGCTTATGTACATCCTACAGATTGTAACAGTTATAACAACAATACTAAGAGCAGCAAAATGGATCATACTACTTATAAGACACACACATATATACATGTATATTACACACACGGTCACACAAACGTGTGTGTTCACTCTGTCCCCTCAAAATTAGCACATTTTTATATTTAGAAAAAAGTTACTAACTTGTAGCCTTAAAAGCTTAAGGGAAAAGCTTAAGCGGCAAAAGCTTTGTGAGGCCATGACATTTGTGTGGTTGTAAAAGCTTCTCATTAAGGATAAATTGGTATAATGAAGATTTTAAAGTTGAATTATTTCCAATTGTTTCTTTTAGAACGGATTAATAAGGAAAATGTGTCATCTAAATTGAAAGAGAGGGAGTATAATTTTTACATTCCCATATTGCCATCGACATAAGTTGTTGAAGGTCCAACTGGTTACAAAAACAAATTGTTTGGTACAAGGATATATATATGGTGATTTATGCAGACATAACTTTATGATTTCAAAAGTCATCATCTTTTCCTAATCTGTGTCCATTCAAACAATGCCAAGCAATTTCGGATGAAGAGTGTGTGTGTGTGTGTGTAAGAGTGAGAGAGAGAGAGAGAGAGGGAGAGGAAAAGACCTCTTTCTGAAGGAGAGCTGAGGGGGCAGAACCATCAGCTGAGGTTTCTTCCGCAAAACGCCAAGATTTCTTTTGGGGTTCAAGGCAGAGATATGGAATGACGGAGAATAGGAGTGGGGCTTCGGAAAGATGACATTTTTGGATGGAAAGAGATTGTGAGAAGAAAACGCTCAATGAGCCAAGTTTACTTTGGGATGTGTTGATCAGTAAGTTTCAGACAGAGAGAAAGAGAGAGTGGAAACCCTCTAGTTGAGACTTGGGAATTTTGGACTCTGTATAACAGAACTCAGTTTCCCTTCTACCAAACTGAAGTGCAATACTTGCACTCTTTCAAATTAGATTGTGATTCTTTTTTTTTTTTCTCTTACAAAAAAAAATTCGAATAGGCATGGCAAGTTAAATAATACTCATATTATTACTAGTAACATAAACTTTCTCCCTACAATTAGTGACGGCTATTAACATATTTTATCATCGGGATAATACCTGTTGCTCCAAAAAAAAATCTCAACATCCAATAAGCGTGCATTACAATTTAACTTATAACCTTGACCACCCTTTCTCTAAAGAAAATGAATGTTAATCACTCTGTCAAACTATGCTCATATATCTTCATTCTTAATCAAATAAAAGAATCTGTCAAGTAGTATAAGCTTGAAAATAGGAAGAGGAGAAAGACCAAATAGTAGATCAATTATACAATTTAGCCAAATCCTTCTACATTTCTTATCATGCTAAAGAAATCAATCCAGCTACTTGAAAATATTGAGATACTTTCTATCGGTTCAATCTTATTTCTCTTATGCCTCTGGATTCCTCCCAGAGAAATAAATCTTCAAAATCTCTTAATCTCAGACGGACAAAATACTCATATCATAAATAATATCTCCCCCAACATAAATGCTGCACCATACTGAAGTTTGCTCTCGATTTAGAGCTCCTATTGGAAACTCCATATCCAACTTATTCCAACAAGCAGATAAAAACCCTCTCCGAATTGATAAGAGACCTCATCCTTGGGAATAACCGACTTGTCTTACTAATGACTGTTCTTTCAATAGGCCAACTTCTTTCTGAGAACACTAGATACACATTTCACGAACGAATATGGGTTATAAGAATCATGTAGAAATAGCATGACTGAGAAGGGCATGGTTTTTTGGCTAATCATCCCTAGATTTTAAGGTGAAACTGGACAAAATACCAAGGAGTGCTCAAGACCATGCTTCAACATGATACTTGCCTGCCTTTTCCAATGCCCTAAGCCACCTTACTGCAGCTTCTTTTGGAACCCCGCCTTCTTTAGATACAATTTCTTCAAATGCCAACAGCACATCAGAAGGCATTTTGTTGGCAGAGCCAGCGACATACACAGCTGCGCCCTCAGTTAATAGATTCCATATCTTAACACTTTGTTCTCTCATTTTATGTTGCACGTAGATTTTCTGTGGTTGGTCTCTGGAAAAGGCAGCAAAAAAGCCTCCACCTTTTTCTTCAGAAAGGACTCCGCCTTTTTGTGAATGAAACAACCAAAAATCTTGGTACAAAAAGTCATTTTCTTCATTTCTACAACCAAAGAAGAAAAGAAGGGGAGCAGTTGGACCCGATTGACTCTGCAGGGATCTTTCCTCCACAAATCCACGAAAAGGAGCACACCCTGTGCCAGGTCCAATAACAATAACCGGAAGTGAAGGCGGAGGGGCAGGAAGAGAACCCTTTTGAAACCAAGCCGGTATGAGGACTCCTGTTTAGCATAATCCAAAAACCATCATCAGAGAGCTACAAGAGGTGATGAGTAAATGAATAACGCATTTTAATTACAAATTACTCCAAAAATCATACTTTTCTGAGGATCAAGTCCAGCTAGCCATGATGAGCAAAGACCTGTGCGCTTCCTCTTATAAGGTGTTGTCCATGACACCACACTAACTGTTAAATGTACTTGATTTGGATGAACTGAGTGAGAAGAAGAGATGGAAAAAGCCCTAGTTTTAAGTGGAGGTACCAACTGAACCAACCATTCAAATGGCATCTGAACGGATGGAAAATCCTCTAATACCTGCATTACAATATGGAAAGTTGAAAAATCAAACGAAAGAAAATCAGATATTAACAGCAGAAACAGTTTTTCCCGAAGAAGGTAACAGATAACAGCAGAAACAGTTTTACAGTTCATTTCCAAATTATCTCCTGTGAATCAATAACTTAACCATAAAACAGCATTATTAGTTAAAAGGCATTATTGGTTAACAGAAGGAACATTCCATAGGAGAAGACCAAGTGCCTCCATAATTTCAAAAAAACAAAAAAATTTGAATTCTGTAGCTCGCTAAACGTAGTGTGGGTAACCTAACTAAGGTATCAAGCTTCTATTGCTTGCAAAAAAGGACTAGTGCAAGATATGCTCACTTACAGATTTCACATTTAGAGAGACTAGTTTTCTAATTTGACAATCAAGATGCTGTAATGTGAACGTATGACAGAGTTGGTGTTGGCTAACCAGTTTCACTTCCAAAAGAACTGGGCCAACTTCTTGCGTCTTAGTATGTCTTCTTAAACTATAGTACCTATACATTTCATTGAAACAAAAATCTAACATAAGAGAAACCATATTATTAAAGAATCCAACAGTAAAGGAAAATGTCAGTGACCACTCAAGTGCAGCTTCATTAATCTATAAAAGAGTGGAAATATTTTCATCACCTCCAGTACAGTTCTCCGTTCCTTCTGATTGTACTCATAAAGATCATCTCTTCCTTCTGGAGAGGCAAAATATTGAAGCCTCTCCTTCTCATGTTCGGCAGTGGCAAAATAACTCATAACCTGAAGAAATGAACGATCCAAATGGCTTATTAAATTACTCTGATATGTGGTGATCATGCATAACGTGCTATTCCACAGGCAGAACAAGGAAGATGAACATAACATGCACCAGTGAAGTACAGGCAAATAATAGAGACAACAGCAGAAATATCAAATATACACCATGTCATCGGATATTACTGTTTGAAAGACAAGAAATCTCCAGTGTCTTACCTCAAAGAAATATCGTCTAGGGGAAGCTGATGCAACATCCATTGCCAGTTCCACAAAAGTTTTTAATCTCATGGGGACCTTCAATGTATTTCTCAAGTCATGACTTTGTCCATTTTCTTTATTATCTCTAGGCTCAACCTGAAAAAAAGTTCATATTAGTAACATAAGAATTCAAGAGTTGATACATGTTAAATTTGCTCTTTCAATTGATGTAATAGCCAACACTGCAGATCCAAAACTCACCACAAAGAAGGGAGAAAAGGAAAGAGACAACAAATCTCAAATTCGACATTGTAAAACAGATTTGAAAACATGTTCTCATTAACTAATCCAAAGATAATGAGCTTCAGCCACTTCAATGCTTTTATTAACAAGGCCTTGGTTCAGGTGCTCAGGAACTTATCCTAGATGTTGAAGTGTGTTGATTAGCATGAGTCAAGGAGACTTGATTTAGGAGTGTTGATTAGCATGATTTCAGGAGATTTGATTATATTTAGGAAATCTGATTTTATTTGATTTGATTTGATAGTTGGATTGATTGTATAGATTTATTTTATTTCCTTAATTAGCATTAGGAGCTTTGTATAAATTCCCTTGCTCATGGGATATAAACATACACATAAGTACAAGAAGCCTTTTCTTCTTCTCAAAATCTACATGGTATTAGAGTCATTGCTGCCTTTTTGAGGTGAGTTATCTCCCTCGCAGCACTAGGGTTCCTTTTTTATCAAAGAGGTCGAGCTTTCTCTCTCTTGTTGGCTATCCGCAACACAAACTCCTTCTGATTTCCTTCTGATTGGGCTGAAATATGGAGACATTCAAGGAGACGGTTTCTGGAGAAATCTTGTCTTCGGATGAAATTCAGCTTCTCCGTCGCCTCCTAGCCAAACTTGACTCCGCTAATGTTGCCACATCCAATCATGTGCAATCAGGTACTGCCTTTGTTGATAACTTTAATTCTTGGATTGTCGTCTGGTGCAAATAGACACATGATAGGCTCTTCTAAAGGCATTCAAAACTATTCTAAGTGTCCCAAAGGAGATAATATTAAAATGAAAGAATTACAAGAAAATACATATGACTTCACACCGTAACAAAAAATGGCCCATGTTTTTAAGTTTTACCCGACCTAGCCCATATTGTACATAACTTAAAAAAACTTTTCAGCCTTTAGCCCATTATTAAAGACACACATCTAGGGTTTTTATTATTTTCTTCTTTCTTCATTTGCACCACACTAAATTCTCTCTCCACCGCCTCTCGCTTCTTTCTGTCTAACCCACACATATCCCCTCATCCTGTCTTAACCTAGCCCCTGCTATTCTCCCTCCCCCTACGCAGTTCTGCCATCAATGGCTTGAAGAAGGCTCAGGCTCCTCCTCCGTTGTCCAAGCCCGTCAAGTCTGATGGTGGCAAGCGGAAGAAAATTGAAGATTTTGAAAGAAAAATAAAAATACACACAGATCTGAAAATAAATAGCTCTCAAACTTGATTTGCACCAAAAAATAATCACTAATTTGGAAGATTTTGAAGTTTGGAATTCGGATCATTATTGTTATGACCTTGAAGTCTCAGATCTGAAACTAGGTGTATCTTGTGTGGGTGTTGAATTCGGAATCGTTGGCGCAAAGTTGTTAACCTATTGACAAGTTGAATCATCCAATACCTTCTGCTACAACTCGAAGTTTGGATAAAAATTATCCTATGTAGCAGTTTGTATCAACACTGTATAATTGTGTATATGGATGTACAAACACCTCTTATACACTATTATACATGTTTATACAAGTTGATACATTATTTACAATAAGTGTAGTGTTGGACATAATGTTTTTCTAGTGGAAATATTGTATAAGTGGTATTTATATCCACTTATACAGTATTGTATAATATGTATAATTGTGTATAAATGTGTTTATTTGTGTACAATGTTGTATAATTATATATTTTTTCAGTTTATAAGGATGTATATACATTGTCATTGCATAAAAGGCCTCTATGAAAATTTGACACTTTGTTCTCTTCTTCTTTTTTGTGTACGTGTTGTATGAAAAAGATCTTGTACGCGTTGGAGGGATTTTACAATTCATTTACCAAGTTTTAATTTTTTTGAAATATGTAAAGAGGGAAGTAAAAGAAAACAAATAAGAAAGAAAAAGGAGAAAAGGAAAAGACAAAAATGTGGAATCAGATTAAGGCGTGAAACAAATGGTACAAGGAAAAAGGAATCACAATGAATAAACGGTGGGCAAAGTTTGACTTGTTTTCAGAAAGGTTTGTGGGCTATCGGATGAAAACTGTATTCCTGGGTTAGGCGGGTGGAAAAGGGCTTCCTCTAACTGTATTTTTGTGTAAATTTCCCTATTAAAATAGTCAATGGTTCTTTAACACCTATCTCTGGAACAGGTTCTATCATTTGTACACCTAATATTAAACTATCATCCGTGCTCCATGTCCCTGAGTTCCCTATCAATCTTTTATATGTTAGTAGCCATACACCAAAGCTCTAAACTGTAAAATCGAGTTATTTCCCGATCATTGATTTTTCAGGTATCTTCAAACAGGGAAAAGAATTGAACAGTGATAGATTGCATGATGACTTGTATATACTTAGATGAGATTCAAAACTCTAGTCAAGTCTTTTAGGGGAATAGGATGTCAACCAGAATATACAAGGCATAGACGGTTAGGACACCCATACATTCTTTTGGTTTTGAAGAAGTTATATCCCGATTTGTTTTCAAGGACTCGATTTGAATCTTTGTTCTGTGATGCGTGTGAATATGCCAAGCATACTAGAAACTCTTATCCTGTGAGTGATAATAGAAGCACAACTCCGTTTATTGACTATTCATTCTAATGTATGGGGTCCTACCCAAACTATTTTCTTTGTCTGGTAGTCGATGGTTTGTTACTTTCATTGATTGCTGCACTAGGATGAATTGGGTATATTTGTTAAAAGACAAAAGTGAAATTTTCTTCTTGTTTTCAGTCATTTCATAAGATGATTTATACTCAGTTTGATGCCAAATAAAAATCTTGAGAACTGACAATGGCAGCGAATACATGGATAAAAGATTTGGTGCTTATTTGGAGTCCAATGGGATAGTCCATCAAACTAGTTGTCTTTACACTAGTGCACAAATGGGGTCGCTGAAAGAAAAAATAGAGATCTGTTAGAAGTACAATATCTTTAAAACTTCACCATGCATCTACCAAAACCTTACTGGGGGATGCTATAACTAGCGGCTTGCCTATCTTATCAACAGAATGCCAACTTAAAACCCCTCAATTTTCCAAAGTCCTCTGGAAACTTTAAAGGGTAAGAATGAATATATTGTTCCTCCAAAGGTGTTTGGGTGTGTCTTGCTTTGTCCACACAAGAAATTTGGGAAACTTGATCCTAGAGCTATAATGTGTTTTCATTGGGTATTCTCCAACACAGAAAGGATACAAATGTTATCATCCTCCCTTAAGGAGATCTTTTGTTAGCATGGATGTTACTTTCGAGAATCTCAGCCCTATTTTAGTATTTCCTCATCACCTCTTCAGGGGAGAGCAATAAGGAGGAAAAGCTGATTCTACCTAGTTCTATTACTGGACCTCTTGATGACATTGTCACCGGGAAAGTGAATTGGAGAAAGAATTCAGGGGGAGACTATTGGGCATTTGGATATGCCTGATTTGAAAACTTACTCAAGGAAAAATAGAGCAGAAGAAGCCATCATGCAATCTACCGAAGCTGAACCTTCTTCTATTGGTGAGATATTTACATTTCCTAATGAGTTAGATAAACCTATTGCTCTCAGAAAAGGAGTCAGATCTTTGCACCACCAAACCCTTTATCTAATTTTGCCTCCTATAATTCTTTGTCTCCTCCATAGAGCCTTTGCCTTGTCTATTTCTTCTGTGTCTATTCCCCAGAATTAGAGGGAAGCTTTTGCAGATCCTAATGGAAACACGCTATGATTGAAGAAATGAAGGCCTTGTCAAAAAATGAGACATGGGAACTTGTCAACTTCACACCAACAAGAGTTGGTTGGCTGCAAATGGTCTTTACTGCACAAAGCTGATGGGCTCAATTGAAAGATTCAAAGCAAGATTGGTGGCTAAGGGATTCATTCACTCAGACTGATGGAGTGGATTATCAAGAGACATTTGCCCATGTTTGCTAAGATGCACCTGTTAGAATTCTTTTATCTTGTGCAGCTAATTTTGATTGGGACTTGCAACAAGTTTGATGTGAAGAATGCAATTTCTTCATTGAGACTTAGAAGAAGAGGTGTATATGGAGATTCCTCCTGGATTGATACTGCCAACAGAGTTAAGGAAAGGTAATGCAGATTGAAGAAAGCCTTATACGGACTAAAACAATCCCCTAAAGCTTGGTTTGACAGATTCAGAAAGCAATGATCTCCTTCAGTTACCAACAAAGCAATGCTGATGCAACCTCTTCATAAACATCAAACGGGTAAACTCACTTCTCATAGTTAATGTTGATGACATGTAATGATAGGAGATGACAAAAAGGAGATGTCTCGATTGAATAAGTTTGTTGGCACATGAATTTGAGATCAAAGATCTAGGAAAATTGCAGTACTTCATAGGAATTGAGGTTGCTAGATCCAAAAGAGGAATCTTTATTTCTCAAAGGAAGTATATTCTGGATCTTTTGAAAGAAACTGGTATGACAGGTTGCAAACTCGCAGAATCGCCCATTGAAAGCAATCATAAGTTACAAAGCGGAGTTAGAGAATCAGTTGATAAGAAGAGATATCAGAGGCTGGTTGGAAGACTCATTATCTCTCTCACTAGACCAGACAATAGCCTATTCAGTTAGCCTGGTGAGTCAGTTCAATGCATGATCCCCGAGATCTCATTATGCAAGTTGTCTTTCACATTTTGGAAATGTCTACTTTTCTCCAAACATGATCACCTCCAAATAGAAGCCTTTACAGACGCGGATTGGGCTGGATCTCTAGATGACAGAAGATCAACATCCGGTTACTGTACGCTCGTAGGAGGAAACTTGATTACTTGGAGAAGCAAGAAGCAAAGTGTAGTTGCTAGATCAAGTGCGGAGGCAGAATATAGAGCTATTGCCCAGGATGTTTGCGAACTGCTTTGGCTACAAAAGCTACTACAGGAATTGAGACTGTATGAAAAAGGAAAACTTTCCTTGTACTGTGAGTCTGTGACAATAAAGCTGCCATCAGTAGAGCTCATAATCCTGTCCAGCATGATCGAACAAAGCATGTGAAAATTGATCGACACTTCATCAAAGAAAAAGTTATAACTGGTGTCTTGAGTTTGTTTCGTGTGCCATCGGAAAAACAGCTAGCTTATGTGTTTATCAAAGGTCTCAACAAGCGAACTTTCCATACTTTGAGTTGCAAGTTGGGCATGTGCCACATTTTTGCACCAACTTGAGGGGGAGTGTTGATTAGCATGATTCAAGGAGACTTGATTTAGGAGTGTTGATTAGCATGATTTCAGGAGATTCGATTATATTTAGGAGATCTGATTTTATTTTGATTTGATTTGATAGCTGGATTAATTGTATAGATTTATTTTATTTCCTTAATTAGCATTAGGAGCTTTGTATAAATTACCTTATTCATGAGATGTAAACATACACCATAAATACAAGAAGCCTTTTCATTCTTCTCAAAATCTGCAAAGTGATCTAACCGATTTTTCAATATGATACCCATGGCAAGTAAACCCCCCCCCCCCCAATATCAGCTCTCCTACAAGGGAGGTCATGGTGGTGCCTCTGTTGTAACAGTTTTTGCTGCTGCTTACCTATCTATTTCTGATTTCTTCAACTTTAAAGAGGTTCCATCTCATGGGAGCCCAATAATGCAATAATGGTCCTTTCCCACTTGCTCCCTTGGTAACAGAACCCAACTTAGAGGTGGAGGGTCTTTACCACTAGAGTATCCCTCCCATCCTAAAGCCTTTAGAATACTGGTACACTTCTCCTTCCAGTGGCACAAAACAATTCAGAGTACTTTTCAATACTTTCCAATCCACACGATAATTTTTTCTGATAAGGATAATCCACATGATAATTTTTTATAAGGACAATCCACATGATAATAGACCCATATTAACATGGAAATGTAAATCATGTTCCACGAAAATTTTACACAATAAAAACCTTCTAAGATGCATGAATACAAAATAATATCTAGGAGGAAGATTTGAAGACTAGCAGGGTCCTAGTGACAGCAAGAGAGTCAAGAACGTAAGACAAGTACATACTCTGATATATGATTCAGGGTTCAAATTACAGCGCTTTATGAAAGCATCAACCGCTGCAGCATCTTGCCCAGGGAGAATGTGAACAACATCACCAACCTCATACTCAACAGACTGAGATTACAAAGGAAATCATTAGATGTATTGTATAAAGTGAAGGAGTAAAAGAGATATAAGAATGTACAACTTGACTTACAGATGAAATAGCTTCAAGTTCAAAATGGCGGACATCTTTCCCACAATCAGCTTTACTTAATGGATCATTTTTAACCTACATCAATAGAGTGAATAAGAAAAACATGTCAATGCCTAGATCACAACCATCGCATTGACGAGAAAAAGGATCTAACACCTCCACGTAAGATCATAAAAGCAGCCTTTCTGAAAATGCACAATATACGCCAGTGCTTTGTAGAATAGAGGACTCATTTCAGAAACTGTTCTTCTAGTTATGATACATTCAGGGATGACATCATTCATATCTCATTTCTGTGGGAGCTTAGAGATGTTCAGTATATGTGCTACTTCTAGTGAGATACTATCAATTTGTCACATCACTTAACTTCCACTATCGACTTTCCTGGTTAAGGACATGAATAGATGCGTTTGAGTAATGAACTCCACTTTTGCTTGGTATAAACCACAAGTGGATCCACAACCGAACTCCCTGATTCAGAGGGAAGGAGTTCCTTAACTTTTGCAGGCAACAGCTCCATTGCATGCCCGACACATAACAAAAGAAATGTAAATGGAGATCACCTACCATCTTTAAGAAGCAATCAGGTGGGTGCTTTCCAGAAAGTTTTCCCGGTAATATGAAGCGCGTGCTCTCAATCTGCATCTCGAGAAGTTTGAAATCTGCAATTTTCAGATGTTTCATCACTACTACATGTTGGAAGACAACTGTCAGAAAACCTTTCGGCCAACAAAACCATACAACAAAATATGAAAAGCACAAGGAACAATATTGAGATGCACTTGTACATCAAAATGATATCAAGAAAATGATTTTCCAAAGCTTCATAGTGACAGCATAAAGTAAAAATCTCAGGATAAGTATCCTGATTGAAGATACTCCAGAACAAACTACACAAACTTATGGATGAGTTCTCTTCTGTATCAATCAAGGCTTTAGAGGGAGACATTGATCTTTACTTTTAGGGGTAAGTTTATCTATAAATCCATGCATGTAAATGCTATCATGCATTGATATTTTACTGACTGTCAGCCAGAACTCTGAACCTACAATGACCTGAAGGTGAAAATGATGTTGATTGCTGAAGTCCAATTTAGCAAGTTACCTGGGATAGATGAGAATTGTAAAGCCCCTTCATCAACATCATGGTATGTAATCTGTACTTTAGGTTGATCCATCAAACTCATATTTGAAGTCATGCACTCTGGACCTTTAGGAAATAATTTCGGATCTTTTTGGTATATTGCCTTCCACAAGGTGGACATCCAAGGATCCAGAGCACCTTCATACCTGCAATTTTTTTTTATTAGACCTTTTACTAGAACAACTGCTAAATAACAAGACGCTCTTCAGGTGCCATGATAACCAACAGCATTATAAAGTGAAATTCTTTGTTATGATAACCAAGTAATCCGCTCTTTTCATCATCGGAACTCGGTGGATAATGGTCCGGCCCCTCTACCCCCTTCAACCTCCCTCACCCTTTAACCTGAAATTCCACTTGAGTATTTGTAGAATTTCAGAAGAGGCGAGGGAAGAGTTGTATTCAACATAAGTAGGTGAGCCTCGCCAAAGTAGTAAAAGTATTCTAGCCTAAAGCAAAGAAGCTCCAACACATGTATTCCACCTCAATCACCTTGATGGCAAAACCTTCTGGATATTTAAAACACCATTTCCTACAAAGCTAGGAAGATTCATGATCCTATAATTCATTCAGATCAGTCTCCTGAAAAAGTAGATAGAAGAAATTTAATGCTATTCAATCCCTATGGTTTGGTTAAATAAATGGGCAAATAATTATCCTGTATATCAAATTGGATTCTCCTATTTAACAGCTTTAAAAGATGAAAACAACAGCTTCTGGCGGATAAGATAGTTTGGACAGAAGGAAACATAAGGTGTTTTGAAGATAGTGCTAACTCAATCAAAAAGATCAAGTTTAATTGCATAATTTTGTTTTACTTTGGTGTAGAAAGGAATTTGTAAATGAGGCTGAATCACCGTTAGCATTCATGGAATTGGAATCCCTACAGGAATATAAGGGAATACTTTTGCTTTTTGCTATACCAGTACAGAAGTGTCAGCACCATCTTAGTGCCGTACACACTATCAGCAAAATCCATACTTTTTCTTTTTGATAACCATAGTGTCCGGGCAAGCTTACGCGCACCTCACCGACTAAATGAATCAACTATTCCTCTACAAGATTAAACCATAACAATACCCTGAAGGGTGCTGATCATCTCCAAGACCTCTTTCCACAATTGCTGTAGCACCAAGATTTGAAAGTCTTTTGTCAAGTTTCTTTGCGACAAACTGCAGAAAAAATAATTCATACATCAACATTCAAAGATGGAATACATAATTGCATAAAGCTAATAGATTTCTCTAGATTAATTATTTGGTCGGGCAACAATGCAAACGACAAGCAAAAAATCATATAGAAATACATAAAATACAGAAATTGACCTGTCTTTGTTATAAAGAGACTAAAATTATCTTATGTGAAGACAAAGTTGAAGAGCAATTCCTAATAATGAACTGATAAGCCTCAAACCCCAACAAGAAATGCATAGGCCAGAGTTATATATAAGAAAAAGATGGAGTAGTAAAAGCTTAGGGACATCAAGATTCTCCTGGTGGACTAAACAGTTGATTTTTTATTTTTTATTTTTTGAATCATAGCGAGTTGCTTTCAGACAATCTTATGCTAAAGTGGCAGTGAAACCATGAGATAGAATTTATTAGGTAGAGCCAGCGCATACATTATACTTCTGGTAGCTGGAATCACCCAAACCAAAGACAGCATAGCTGACACTGCTAAGCCAATTCTGGGTCAGATTTCTTTGCAAGAGAAACTTCCAAAATACCTACAAGCAAGTTAATAAAACGAACAAAAAAGGTTTAAATATGTACATATATGTCTATAGATAAACACACGAGAAGCTTAAAAGTGATACTAACAAACAAACCTTAATAGAATCAGGGTTGTCCCCTTGACCTGTAGTTGACACCACAAATATTACAATTTCCTGCTCCGGCAGACAACTCTAACAATAATTATTAAAAACTAGTCACACTTAGGTCATTAATCATAATCAATAAGCTCAAATAAGAAAACAAAAAAAAAAAAAAAACAAGAACTTGGCATTGGGTCCGGTAGAAAACAGTCAGCTAAAAATAATCTAAAAAATAACAACTATTACAAAACTGAATATAAACTAGTTTAAGATTGAGGCGTAATAGTTTAGGGTAAAGGAGAAGTTACAGGGTCAAAATCGTCAATGGAGAGCAAAGAGACGGGGCATCCTCTGCGTTCAGCTTCACGACCAACACGCTCAGCGGCGTCTATGGCATTACCTGTCTGAGATGCATATAAAATCAATAGCTTCTTTGGCTTCTCCTCCATCCCCATTGATTTGGTTACTGCAATTTAAGAGAGAAAAATGGAGTCTTTGTAAATTAAAGAAGATACTCAAAGGAAGTCAAGTTGTCATGAGCATCGGCGTGGAGGCTATTGGGCTAACGAAACGACATCGCTCTAGAGAGAAATGCACCAGTAGCCACTTTTAGGGCTGGTATTACAAAAATAACCGACGTTTATAAAATATTTAAATTTTAGCCATTCCGTTGCTCAATCCACATTTTCATATTAATTCAAAACTTCAGTTTGATACGATTTAAAATGGAAGAGGTTGGAGGTACGGGTGGAGCTTGTACAATGGGCTTGCAAGCTTGCACCGTGAAGTTAGCGGAAGGGATCGGTTGATTAGTTAACAAGTTTTGTTTCTTGCACTTGAGTCCATTTAGCTAGATTGATTTATTATTAAATCACCCCTTATAATTTTTTCTTATTTCCTTTTAGCCCTTAGGTCTTTGCTCACGTATGAGCTATATGTAATGAGCAATAGCTCATTTTGGAGACATGGATGAAAAACCTTTTATCTTATTTGCATTAGTTTTCCTTTTCTCTTAGCTTTAGCTTTAGTTTTCTTTTCTGCAATTTCAATCTTGTATCGGTAGTATCAGACCCCAGACCCCACCTTGTGGGACTATACTGGGTAGTTGTTGTTGTTGTTGTATCGGTAGTATCAGAGCAATCATCCTCGCTCTGTGGGTAATCACTAATGGCATTCCAAAACCCTCTATATGGCTCTAATTTCACTCCCAGTCACTCTTTACGAGCTGTTTTACCTGCAATTATGCTGCAGGATTTCGGCAATGCAACATATCAAGGTAATAATCCCTATGGTTATAGTAATCCTTTTGGTTATAGCAATATGGGATATGGGAATCATTATAGTGGTTACTGTCACACCTCCTTTTTCCCGCAGGGGCATAAGGGAGTTTTTCCAATTTAAGTGACAATAATCGAAACGGTAACTGATTATAATAAGTGAAATTAGTAATTTGACAAAGATAATTATATACGTTAACAGTTCAATGGAATTTTACATCATCAATGTAGCTTAATATATTGTATTATTCAAGTTAAATATCAATACTACTAAATAGAGTTGCCTACAATTTACTTTTTAAATGACCTAATTGAGTAAATTTCTTACGTCGTCGGTGCATAAAACTTACACCTACTTGTATAATAAGATAAACAACTTGCTATTACATGTCAAATAATTATATTGATAATATAAAAAAAGTTTACTTTGTGTATCAGCAGACTTGATTATTTTAGAGAAATTTTCATAAAGCACTATAATTTAGAGTCTAATTACTATATTTAACTATAGTTTGTATAATTATCGTATTGTTCAATTATCATATATGTTTGTTCCGCGTAATTTCTCCATTATTTTACTGTACAATTTCTCATTTGGGTCTAAATGTCTCAGTTGGGCTGGCTATATGGATCTGCAACAGAGGATGTCCTCACCGGGCTTTTTATCCAAGGGAAAGGCTGGAGATCCGCCTACTGTACACCCGACCCACCTGCTTTTCTTGGATGTGCACCTTCGGGTGGGCCGGCCATAATGATCCAACAGAAGAGATGGGCTACTGGGCTTTTTGAAATTATTTTCTTCAGTCAAAGCCCAATTATCGGAACTCTTTTTGGAAAGCTTCAATTGAGACAATGCATGGCTTATTTGTATATCCAACTATGGGCCTTGAGATCCATTTTTGAAGTATGTTATGCTATTCTGCCTGCCTATTGCCTGATCACCAATTCCAGCTTTTTACCCAAGGTGAGTATTGGGCCTAGCCTATTACACATATCTTTGAAAAATTTACGGGCTAGCCATTTTTTGACCATCTTTTCAAAAATAGCCATTATTTAAAAATCGTTGAAAAATAACTAATTTTAATGCGAAAATATCATGACTGTGTCATGGATTTCGAACTTAAATGAGTGAAAAATCAAGACATTAAAAATGTCAACATGGCAATGTTCTAGACATGGAGTTTGTCGCAACTTATGGATTTACATGCAATTATATATTTATTATTTCAAAATCTTGAGTTGAGGGTCTATTGGAAACAACCTCTCTGCCTCACACAAGTTAGGGGTAAGGTCCACGTACACCCCATTCTCCCAGATCTCACTTGTGGGATCACACTGGGTATGTTGTTGTTATTTTTGTTTTCTCAAAGGTTACTCTCTATCAACTTCATTTGCTACATGTGCAGGCAAATGAACCAAGTATGGTTATACCAGCATCAATCTTTATCGTCTACAATCTATATGGTTTATCAGAGTATGTTAGAGCAAATGAGCCAATAAAAGCATGGTTAAACAATCAAAGAATGTGGAGAGTCAATGCTATGACTGCATGGCTATTTGGGATTCTAAGTGCTACAACAAAAATTACTTGAAATTTCTGAGATTGCATTTGAAGTTACAAAAAAGGACCAACGGAATGAAGGAGATGACACAAATAATTCTAATATTGGAAGGTTCACATTTGATGATTCACCAATTTTTGTGCCTGGCACTACAATTCTCTTATTGAACCTTAGTTCCTTGTTCATTGGGATTTTAGATTTCAAACAAGGGAGAGATTTTGAATGGGGATTAGGAGAGGTTATATGCATTATGTGGGTACTTTTCATATTTTGGCCATTTTTGAAAGGGTTATTTGCTAAAGGGAAGTATGGGATTCCAGCAACAACTATTCTCAAGTCAGGGGCATTGGCATTGTTGTTAGTTCATCTTTTCAAGTTTACCAATAAGTTGTAAATTTTTTTTCTTACATTTTGAATGCTCAAATTTCAATAGCATATATGAGTTTAATTATGTACTCCCTCTGTCCAAAGTTATATGATATAGTTTCCTTTTTAGTCTGTTCCAAAAAGAATAACATCTTTCTATATTTAAAACTAATTTTAAACTTTTTACTTTATCCTTAATGAGATACAGTCACACAAATATCTACGACTTGTTTTAAACCACCGATCTAAAAAAAATTCTTTCATTTTTAATTTAATGTCCGATCAAACTGCGTCACATAAATAGAATAAAGGAAGTAACTTGTTGCTCTTGCAGATGATTGTACAAAACTAAGTCTGTAAAGACAAGACTAAATAGCAGTCAATAGGAAACAAGGGTGGATTAAGATTTTAATCAATAAATACAAAATGTCACTATATTTACTAATACTTTTTGATGGTTAGAGTAAACTTAGTATAAACACATTTATTCCTAAATATTGTTAATTGCACCCTATGACCAAATACTATGTCAACCCTTGGTCATAAATGAAAGACCTAAAATAAAAGTTATAACCTGAAAATCACCTAAAATGAATCTTTTCTTAACATATTTATAAATAAATACCTCTTTGAAAATAATGATGTAATGAATGTTTTCTTGTTTCAAGATTATACGTGCAATGTATGAATTTGATAGTTAACAAAATGTTATCAATCCATCTCGATTATATAGGGATTACTAGTTGAGTTTTGGCCCGCGCTTAGCACGGGCCCAATGTTGTAAAGTTGGAATAGTCAATTATGATTTTTTTATTTTGACATGAAATTATAGAAAAAAGAGATTGAAGCACCCTGGGTAAATGTCAAACCAAATATATAGCATTGCATACTATTTACTTCATAGTATTAACATGCATTTAGGAGCAAAGTTCTCCAAGCTGTAAAAAAACTAACAAAACATTGATATTGAGCGGTTGTAAAATGACACATTCTTTACGTCCATGAGAAATTCATATTGATTACGTTGTGCAGCTGCAAAATGGCACATTCTTTACATCCACGAGATTAACTTATTTACACAACTATTTGTTTATTAACAAAATATAATGCAGCCACCGTGCAATGGTTAGCCTCCTTTTTGCAATCTTTGAGAAAGTATTAGTACCTGTAGAGATTATTTGTTAGCCTTAGCTCACCTCATTTCCATTGTAAAAATAGAATAGGGTATAAACAAAAGGAGTAGAGAAAAAGAATAGAAACATGAGAATTGAATTAGTTGGTAGTCAAGTACTAAAGTTTCAAACAGGAAGTCATATTGCTTTTTTATATAGTTTGATTGAATTTTTACCTTTAAACACATGTGATACTCTCAGTAGGATAGCTGAACAACTAATAAATTGTAGATGTTTTATCCAATACTCTCTATGCAAAGTTCTACCTCATTTAGAGCAAAAACAGAATGAGAAAACTGACCAATTTTCCATTCCACGAAAGTTCTATATCAAGTCTTCTCCTAATTTAATCAATGCGAAATCAGTATTTAAGAAAAAGAAGCTTTCACGTGTGGCAGAATATTTATCATGCTATGTACACTATAATGAAACATAAAATGGGCATAGAGTTATCAACTTATACACAAAATAAAGGTGAAATGATATGAACTACAATGTTCCATTCCAGAGCACATACCATGTTCTTTCAATACTTTATCCAAATACTAATTTGTACAATTTTACCTTCTTAGCAAAATGATTAGTTTTCTAACCAGCCTTTCTAGAGAATATTGAGAAGAAAAACTAAAATCTTTTATCAAAAATTACTTCGTCAACATTGAGAGAGATACATGATCATGTCAATATGGTAAAAAGAAGTTTAGTTGCTCACTTTTTAGAACAAAGTATCAGTTTCTTTTCTGTCATTCAAACGATTAAATATTCGCCACGTGCCAAAATATAGGAGCAGATAGACTATCTTTTACTTGCACCTTCATTCTCTTCAGGCTACAGTTAAATTCAAGAAATTTTGACACTGAGAGCGGCAGTAATTGATCAAGATCAAAACAGCTCATTTTTTCTCCAAAAATTAGTAATAGATCAAGTAAGTGAGTTGTGTAGTTAAAACTGCAGGTTCGAAGGATTGAGCTAGTTGGCGGAGATTACTTAGTCTATTTCTGAATGTGGATAAACTTTAGTATTAGTAAACCAAGTACGAAGATTGTGGTGATATCGTTGATTTGGGAATTGATGCCTGAGGGGCACTTGATTTATTGAGTTGTGGACTGTGGATGATTACTCCGGTTATGATGGTTGTTCTTATGTGTTATGAGAGAAAGGGGAGTCGTTATAAACCTTTGAAAGGTTGTTGGCTTGATTCAGTGCGATCAGAATCAGCTTGAGGTCTGTGGATGGATTTAAACGTGAATGTGGGTTCTATATCAGGCCAGATGTGTTCATTTCAGTAATGCGCTTCTTATGGAAGAGTAGTCAGGGCGTATTTCGTTGCCGGTTATTTCATGTAATGATGTATTGCGCCGTGCGATTGTGAGACGGCTTGGTGAATTGCTTATGTGTTGAGGTTCCGCGTAGCGATGATGTTATATGAGCAAAATGGCTCTTGAGATTCAGATCGTATATCGCACCTCAGTGTGCTTGAGTTTGTATCTTATAGCACTATATGTCTCCCCAGTGATGGTACTATGTACTTAGTGTGCTTGTGACCGATATTCAGTATCTTGTTGTAATGAGAAATCTAGCTCGGTGTGTACCTCATTATGCGAATTTTATGGGTGGATCGGGTGGCACGCCGCCATGGGTATGTTGCTTGGAGCAGGTTGCGCGCCGCAACAGTATGATGTTGAGTACAGTTCCCTATATCTGTTTTTATGTGTTTTGTCTCCTATTTTCCTGAGGAAGACTCATATTACCTGTGTGCCCGCGCCGCATGTATGATTCGCGAGCGGGGTGTCAGTTCAATTATGTTGACCGCATCGCATGTATGATTCGCGAGCGGGGTAATTGGATTTCCTTTTCAGAGTTCGTTTTCATTGTATCGCGTTTGAATTGGTAGCCTATTGGCACATTGTGGCATCATATGAGACTTTTGATTGTGTCTGGGGTGGCTTATTGCCTGAGCAGTTCATACTGGGTGAGACGAGATCATTGGATTTAGGATCAGTGCAACCTGACTATATGAAGTATATTAAGGAGCTAAGACCATTATTTGGTTCAGAATGAGGTGATGGTTCTTGTCAGGAGTATAGACCCAATGATTTGTTAATTCGGCAGTCGATTATGAATTTCTACACATCTCTTCCGTCATGGCGGTATTGTAAGAACTAGCGCAAGACCTATGTAGGTCATGAGGTGCAATAATAGCATTAGGTTCGTGGAATTTCGATTTATTTGATCAGAGAATGTTATTGTGGCCCTGTGAGTAAAGTGGTGCAAGTTGTGAATTCAGCTAAGGTATGCAGTCATGTTTCGGTGCTGCGTGTAGTTATTGATACGGTGAGCGTATGTTGGAACAAGCCTGGCAGAGAATTCCGGATGTTGGAATTGGGCTCTAAGACTTATTTGCTTGAATAAATAGAAATATCTTCGAAATTGATCGAGCTAATGTGCTCAATAGAGTTGTGGTAGCACGAGAAGGTGCAGGAGGTGTTAAGTAGTGATTTCAGACTACTTCAGCGTAGTTCTCAGCACGTTCGAGGACGAACGTATGTTTAAGTGGGAGAGAATGTAAAGACCCGACCGGTTGTTTTGAGCTCTACCGCGTCGTTCAGCAGTCTGAGGCCATGAGCAGCTTCGTTTCAGGTATTATGGCTTGTACGCGTGGTCGAAATTGAATTTCGGGAAGTTCGGAGCAGATTTGGAGAGGAAATTCTCATTTCAGAAGCTTTATGTTGAAAGAATTAGCTAAGATTGGATTCTTGAGTAAACGAACTCGAAATCAGGATTCGAAGGTTCCACCAGGTTCGTATGATGATATCGGACTTGGGCGTATGTCCGGGTCGGGTTTTGGATGACCCGTGAGCGTTTTGGCGCCCATTGTGGAAGTTAGCATTTTGGAAGAAATTCTATAAGATTGGGTTGAAGAGCATTTCAGTGTTATCGATGTCCGATTGGGATTCCGATTCAGGGAGTAGCTCCGTATGGTGATTCTGTAGTTGGGAGCGCGATCGGAAGTGAATTCGGAGGTCCGTAGGTCACTTTGAAGTCATTTGGCTAAAGATGGAAATTTGAAGGTTTTTGAGAAGTCTGACCGGAAGGGGACTTTTTGATATTGGGGGTCGGAATCCGACTCCGGAAATTAGAGTGGGTTCGTAATGTCGAATATGACTTGTCTGCAAAATTTGAGGTCAATCGGACGTGATTTGATAGGTTTAAGCATCGAAAGTAGAAGTTTAAAATTCTAAAGTTCATAAAGCTTGGATTGGAGGTCGATTCATAATTTTAGTGTTGTTTGATGTGGTTTGAGGCCTCGAGCAAGTCTGTAATGTGTTTTGGGACTAGTTGGTATGATTGGTTGGGGTCCCGGGGGGCCTCGGGTGGATTCCGGATGGTTAACGGATCGAAAATGGGATTTTTTGGAAGGCTGAAATTGCTGGTTGCTGTCATAACCGCACCTGCGAGAATTGGGCCGCAGGTGCCGAGCCGCAGAAGCGGCTAGAAGAGCTGCAGATGCGGTTTGGGCTGGAAGTTAAGGGACCGCAGATGCGGTCATGTACCCGCAGAAGCAGGACCGCACCTGCGGCAGTCGAGTTGCAGAAGCGGAAATGGGTGGCTAGGCTGGGATCGCACATGCGATCATTTTGCCGCAGATGCTGGACCGCACCTGCGGTAGACGAGGCGTAGAAGCGGAAATAAGGGGTCCTGGGAAGGACCGCAAATGCGGTGGTTTGGCCGCACCTGCGGAACCGCAGAAGCGGTCGAGTGACCGCAGGTGCGGAAAGTGCTGGAGGCAGTAGGTTGTTTTATAGTTGGGATTTGGCCAATTTCTCTCATTTTCTCTTGGTTTTGGGCGATTCTTGGAGGATTTCAAGAGGGGATTTCATCATTCAATGGCAAGGTAAGTC